CAGGCCAGCTCTGGGGTCTCGGCAGGTGATCCGCAACATGAGCTCAGAGTTCTACGCGTCTCAGCTTCGGGCCCGGATCTCTGATGGAACCACTCATCCAACCGAGTACTATGAGCCCGAATTCTACATTCCTGACGATGGCGGCACTGCTCACCTGTCCGTGGTTTCGGAGGATGGCAGCGCCGTGTCTGCCACCAGCACCATCAATCTCTAGTAGGGGCTGTGCGGCTGCTGGGCAGTACTGGGACATTGGCAGTGGGTTGGGGCTATCTTTATTTCCTATCAGGGCCTCCCTCTTTCATTTTGGGAAACAGAGGCTCCCCCTTGATAGCATGCCTGGGGTTGTCCCCCTAGGGGAGTACTCTTGGCCTGGTGTGGGTGGGCACCAGGTGGGAAATGGCTGGGTTGTATGTCTATTGTTATCTGATCTGGCCCTATCTTCAGTTTTGGCTCCAAGATCCTCTCTCGGGTCAGCGGTATCCTATTTAATGATGAGATGGATGACTTCAGCTCACCCCAATTCATCAACCAGTTCGGGGTGTCCCCCTCACCAGCCAACTTCATCAAGCCAGGTGCAGGGTGGGAATCCTGGGATTAAGGGCTTGAGTTGGGAGGGGGCTGGTGCCCTGACTGGCAACCGACCAGCCTCTCCGTCTCCTCCTATGGACCACAGGGAAGCAGCCACTTTCATCCATGTGTCCGTCAATCATCGTGGATAAGGACGGCAAGGTGCAGATGGTGGTGGGCGCCTCAGGAGGCACACAGATCACTACATCCACCGCACTGGTATATGCCTTGGGCCCAACCCTTCCTGCCCCCCTCTCTCCCTGCCCTTGTTCCGGGGCTGTGCTGACCTCTTGGCTGCCCTCTCCCTGCAGGCCATCATCAACAACCTGTGGTTTGGCTATGACGCGAAGAGAGCCGTAGAGGAGCCCCGGCTGCACAACCAGCTTTTGCCCAACACCACAACAACAGAGAAGGACATTGATCAGGTAGGCCGACCATGACAATAGAGAAGGACACTGATCAGGTGGGCCGATGACAATAGAGAAGGACTTTGATCAGGTAGATTGATGACAATAGAGAAGGACATTGATCAGGTAGATCGATGACAATAGAGAAGGACATTGATCAGGTAGATCGATGACAATAGAGAAGGACATTGGCCAGGTAGGCCAAGAGCCGAGGAAACAGAATCATGGTGTGGGATTAAAGGACATCCTTGACTGGAGACTTGGCCTCTTTTCAGTCACCAGAGCAGAGTGGCTACTATCCCCTGTCCAAGGCATATGGTCCCCAGGCCCTCAGCATGGGTCGTCTTGAGCCCTTGCTCAGTGACAGCCCAACAGCTTGTCCCAGGAGATCTTACTGTAGTGATATTTTATTTGTGTTTTAATAAATAAAGCCTGCCTGAAGTACAACAGCCCCACTGGTCAGCCTCACAGACCAGGCAGTGGTGGCACACACCTTTAATCTCAGTAGCCACACTAGTTTGCCATAGAAGTCAGGTGGTAGTGGTGCACACCTATAATCCCAGCCCTAGAGAGGAATATAAGACAGAGGAGACAGCTCTCAGCCTCATTCTGAGATTCCTGGAGCAAAGGATCACCATTTTGGACTGAGATAGAGGTAATTGTGCTGCACCTTAGAAGCCCAGGTGCCTCTCTCTAGTTCTTCCTGGTCACTTGACCGGAAGTAGCACTAACTGGGCTTGTGAGGCCCATGACCATACAGGTCTAGTTTCGGCCACATCCATGGCCTTATTGAGACTCTTTTTGCCCTCTCACCCCCAGGCGGTGACTGAAGGCCTGAAGACTCGGAACCACTACACGGAGGTCACGCCCACCTTCATTGCCGTGGTCCAGGCCGTCGTCCGAACAGCCAATGGTTGGGCAGCTGCCTCAGACTCCAGGAAGGGCGGGGAGCCAGCTGGCTACTGAGAGCTCAGAAGAGGCAAGACCTACCTGCAATCCAGAAACGAGATATTGATCAGGAACAAGAGTTGGACTTTGGAAGACCTGCTGCCCCTGAGTGAGACAGCAGCATAATAAATGTGGCCAACTGCCAAGCTCCGGGAAGTCTTGCTGGGTGGACTTTCAGTATCTTGGCCTTTAGTGTCTTGTTATGAAATGGAGACATCTGGCTGGGAGAATGATTAGGCAGAATCCTAAGACCTACTACCTCAACCTTTAACCTTTAACCCAGTGTGTTTGGGAGTTGGGGATCCTTATCCTAAATTGTCCTAGGCAGTAACATTTCCCAGTAGCAGCCACTAGAGGGCGCCCCGACCATGCCGTTAACTGGGATAAAGCAACCCCTTAGCTGCGTGGAAACCTTGAGACTGCTTCACATCCAGGGTAGGTGTGGGCTCTTGTTGCCCAACACTTTTGTAGGTAAAACCAAAAGGGAGCAGAAGTAAGGCAGCTTGGCCAAGGCCATAGCTGAGGTCACTTCCTGAGCACAGACCCGGAGTGAAACCCACGCTTGTCTTGCAAGAGGCCCAGTTCTCAAGTTATCGGAAACTCACAGATCCATGAGGAAAACACTGCTCAAAGTGGGTGGGCCCGGAGGAGCACTGTTAGGCATGGTGTCCCTCCTTGTCTTAGTCAGGGCTACTATTGCTGTGATGAACCTGAGAACCAAAGCAACTTAGGGAGGAACGGGTTTATTTGGCTTGCACTTCTACACCGCAGTTCACCATCAAAGGAGGTCAGGACAAGAACTCAAGCAGGGCAGGAACCTGGAGGCAGGAGCTGATGCAGAGACTCTGGAGGGGAGCTGCTTATTGCTCTTCCTGGCTTGCTCAGCCTGCTTTCTTACAGACCCCAGGACCCTCTGCACCAGGATGTTCCCACCAGCAAGGGGCTGGGCTCCCCTGCGTCAATCCACTAATTAGGATAATGGCCTGCAAGCTTGCCTGCAGCCTGATCTTATGGAGTCGGTTTCTCAGTTGAGGCTCCCTCTCTGAAGACTCTAGCTTGTGTCAAGTTGACGGAAAACTAGCCAGCACATGCCCAAAGGGCAGCCCCTTCCGATGTCCCTAGGTCTGTAGAACTCATGGCCGTGAACACTAGGTCAGGAGACCTCGAAGACGTGTAGAGAAGTGGGCCATTGGGGTACTCACAGCTGAGGAGCTAAATATTGCCCCTAGAAGTGAGCACAAGTTGGGGTTCCTGAGGGAAGGGGCCCAGTGGCTGGAGGAAGGGCCTGGGAGCTTCCAACCTGTCCACAGGAAAGCAGGAATTTGTCCTGTAGTTATGCTCCATGTCTGGGCCCTAGGAGTCTCCGTCTCTGGGGTTCCCTGGGGAAGACAGAAGCTGGGCCAGAACGGGTGGCAGTCACTCCTCCGTCCGTGTTTGCAGGGGAGAAGGCAGGCTTCTTAGGCCAGCATGTTGAGGTGTGGCTTGTCACAGTGTTCCGTGCCCCATGGAACTGGCTAGAGAGGTTCATGCCCCCAGGGTGCTAGAGGAGTACCTTACTCTCCCAGACCTCTGTGGTTTAGCCCAGAGCTTCTCTGTGGTTTGGGAACTTGAGCAGCTTTTCCATCCCATTGCCATTTCCCCGTCGCTTCTGGAGTAGAGACCTTCAGAGCCACCAGAACAGGCTTCCCCCCAAGTTCAGTATGATACCAGTTCTTGGAGAAGTCTGACCAGGGCAGGGTGGGGGTGGGGGAGATAAGTTACCCTTGAGTCTGCTTGTCCCTCATTGCTTTGTCTCGAGAGCTTTGAGGACCATGACCAGTGGGTGGGCTGGCCCACACTCAGGAATGTGCTCTGGCTCCTGGTGAGCAATGACATGGCCATGCGGGGGACAGTCGGGATAGGGAAGATTCCCACAGACACTAGTCTCTCCCTCTAGGCAGATGTGGGAACAGGCTTACAGGAAACGGTGTCGCTGGCCCACGCTGAGCCGGGCCTCTGGATGGGAGGCCCTGTGTAGATGTAGACATTCTCTCTCTGGCCCTCATTTTTGGGTGGTACCAAGCAGGGAGTACAAAGATGCGAGAGAACCATGCTCAGTGGAAAGATGGCAGATACTGAAACTCTGAAAGTCCAGCCCTGAGCGCTTCTGCCCTGTGAGCCTGTTAAGTCTGCTCAAGAGAGCAGCACCTCGCTGAGGCCTCTCTCCTCCAGCTGCTCCCACTTGAACATCCTGAGGTCACGCAAAGACAGGACCCAAGCCAGACCGGCAGGAGGAGTAGGCTCACCAGCACAGGCCCAGTTCTGAGTACCACTGTACCCAGGGAGGCAGACTAGCAGCCAGTGGGGCTCTGAGCTGCAGAAGAAGTGAGGGTACCCGGGCAGGACAGACTCACCCCCGAGAAGTCTAACTTTGCATTTCTGGGTCACCATGTCCTAGAGTGGATGATGCAATGACACTGGGTGCCAAGGGCTACACATGTGGCCCATCTGCTCACCCCCTTCCTCCCCTTACACGCCTATGTATGGATGAGGCTGTGCCAGGCTGTGGTAAACGGTCCTGAGTGGCTGCCCTGGTTCACTTTCAGCCCCTCCCTATGCCATGTGGGTGCCTAGATTGAGCTGATGCTTAGGTAGGACCACCTGGGGGTATGGGGCTGAGCAAAGGAGTTCCACCCTGCAGGAGACACCCTGACCCTGAGCAGGTGGGAGCCAGAGAAGGGCTGAGAGTTCTGGGTGCCATTCTGGATGTAGCAAGTGTCATATTTCAATGGCAGTGGGATGAGGATCCCCCAGGGGCCGTGGTGCCGGCAAGAAAGGCCGCAGGCTCCACTGGCAGTGAAAGAGTTAACAGCAGCAGCTGGCCCTTCTCATCAAGAAGAAAACTCCCTGTCCTGGCCTGCCTCCAGGGCCAAGCTGTAGGAGCTAAAAACTGGAAGTTCAGACCTGTGGCCAGATCTGCCTCTGTAGCAAGTACTGGAGGAGGGTCTGTCTGTTTGTCTGTCTGTCTGTCTGATGTTTGTCTCTCCATAAACCCATCAGGCTTCCTGCTGATCCTCTGTAAACCTGCCTGCCCACCTAGCTGTAAGCCTGTTATCTTTTCTGGCCAGCTGTCAGGCCTGTGTGATAATTTATCTCTATCTCTGTACCCATTGATTTTTTTCATCTGTCTGGTTGCTCGAGTTTACCTGTATACTTTCTTTCCTGTTCATCTGCCGGTCCGTTCATTTCTCTGTCCATTGCCCTGTGCCCACCTGCCTCCCTCTCTCTTCCTGAACCTCTGAGCCATGGCCTGGAGTCACAGGGCCACAGTCTGCCTGGTCCTGCTAGGTCTGGGTCTGGGTCTGGCCATCGTTGTGTTGGCTGTGACCCTCTCTCACCACCGTGCCTCTTGTGGCCCCGGAGCCTTTGCACATGCTGCCGTCGCCGCTGACTCCAAGATCTGCTCAGATATTGGACGGTGAGTAAGTGCTGGGTGTGAACTTGGTGGCTCTGAGCAGCTGACTGCTCCTGGAGACTGTGTGACTGTGGTAGGGACCCGTGAGTGCCACGCTGACTGTGTGTTTGGCCTCTGACAGCAACCCCAGGGCCCTTGTGTGGAAGGCCCTTGTAGGTGCGTCCATAGGGGAGGTGGGGACTTGGGACAGCGTTGCAAAGGTATTGTGACACTATTGCTCAAGAAGACCATCTAGACAGTGCTGGTTGGAAAGGTAAACTAAATGAGGCCTGCTACCTTGTCCCTGCCTGTCCTGAGCAAGACTGGCTCTTTTCCGGGAGCCTGGGTAACAGGCTACAGGGTTCCATGTGGAGGTCCTGCCCTTCCTGCCATATACAACGCTTCCCAGGGCCGGGCTACTTCTCCAAGTCTTTCAGAACAAGCACACACATACACATGCACACACGCACGCTTGTGCACACATGCATGTACACACACAACACTCTCAAGGACATATGCATGCACACATGCATGTACACATGCACTCGTGCACACGTGTGTACACACACTCACCACACTCATGCACACATGCATGTACACACACATACACGACCGGTGCCACATCTACCAGGACCTCTCTATGGTAGACTCTGGCCTCCGTGAGTGGAGTCGCTGATGACGGTTGGTGGACTAGGAGAGCGTGACAGAAGCCACAGTGGGTGTTTCCTGACCTTTTTCCAGGAAACCCAGCCCATGAAGGCTCCTGCTACCCACCACGCTGACTGTGGCAGGAAGCCACCTCTGGTCCCCTAAACATTGAGCCCCCTAAACCTGGGCAAGCCTCTCCTTCCTTCCAGCCATCTGGGCCTCCTTCCCATCATATTAGCCTGGTAGCCCACTGTGGGGGCCCAAGTGCTTTATACACCCAGGGCTGGGGCCTGCAGCAGGGAGAATAGTGGGCTCAGTCCAAAACACCAGCCTCGCATGCTTTCTTTTGCTGTTCTTGAATCCACCCACCCTTCCTTCCTTCCTCCCTTAATCCACCTGTCTAGCCCTTCTTTCCCGCCTCCCTTGCTCATAGTAGCTCCCAAGCCTGCTGACCTGGTCCTCTGAGCTCCCAGACTTTCTGTCTCCTCCTTCACGTCTCCACTGAACTTGGTAGTAGCTGGGACTAGCCGTTCGGATCAGTAGAAGCGGTCCTTTCTGCTCCACATGCTGTTCCCAAGGGAGGCAGGAGTTGAGATCAACTGTTTCTTTGTGCATGAGATGCACTGTCTACTTAATCCTCCCAAAATGCAAAGATGTAAATGAGGTTAAAGTGTGTGCACATGCACATACTCAGGCCCCACAGAGAACCTGCCAGACAGGCAGCCCTCTCTGAGGAAGTTCTCTGAGCAGTGCTTGGTCCATGAGGGCTGGACTGCGGTTGGTGCTTGGAGGAGCATGGGGCCTGTACTCTCTTGCACCCAAAACTCTCCCTCAAGCTCTCTCTGATGAAAAGCGGATGTGGGTTCCCCTCCTGTGTTTTGTCAAACAACTCTCTCTGCTTCCTGTTCTTGTTTTAAGAGCCTAGGAGTGGGGAGGGAGCCTCCGGCCCCAACTACTTACTGTGAACAAAAGTTCAGGGACCATAGCCAGGCGAGGCCTCGGAAAGGCGCCCCAGCTGCTGTGACCCCTGGCCAAGAGCTTTTCATTTGATTTAGGAAGTCTGTCCAGGGGAAGAACCTGGGCAGTGTCATGGCGGGCCATCTCAGTGGGCCTGGGGTTTTCCCCTGACTTTTGCTGCTGCTGCTCCCGCCAGGGTGGGAAGACTGTGGAAGGGGCTGTCTTCCTCAAGTCCCCTGCCCATCTGCTTTTACCTCAATCTGTCCAGCTCTGGGCACATATTGACCTCAGCTTTATTTACCAAAATTGCAGAAGGTAGGGCTCCCTTGGGGTTCTGGGGAGCAAGTTTCTGGAGGGTTCCCATCTGGAGTGCAGCCTGTTGTTTCATGCCCACCTGGTGTCTGAGGGTTGCATTCTTGCCTCAGAGGAGAGCAGTAACACAGACCAAGCTATAGCACCATGTGAGCCTCAGTTTCCCATCTGTGACATTTATGCTGGTACCTCCCTCATAGGATGGCTGTGAGCATGCAGGTAAGTTCACCCCCCCCCCCACCACACACACACAATAGACATGTTTCTTCAGTAGCTCTGTATAGTGTCATCTGCCTGGGTTGATCCAGACATAGCCAACATCCCAGACCTAAGGGAAGATTAGCGCGTGGCTCTTATCCGGGTCCCTCCCTTCCAGGGCCTTGGCTTTAGTTTCTACTCTTATGTCCTCCTGGCCTGAAACTTGTTCCATGTCCTTCTTGGTCTCGGTATTCCTGGCCACCTCACCGGGAAGTGACGGCCTTCTCTGACCGCCGGGCTCATGACAAGGCGTGCATGCAAATGCCCGTGTGAGTGCACACACGTCTGAGTGAGCATGTCACGGAAGTAGTGGTGACAGCAGCCTGCTGGTTCCTTGGGGACAAATGATATGAATCATTCGCCTGCTGACAAAAGCGATCACATTTCTCAGCTGAGGAGAGTCAGGCTCTGGACACCGAGCTACCTGCCTCTTGCAGCTGGCTAGCAGGAATATAATCCTACTGGAATAGGACTACTATGGTCCCAGGCTCCCGGCTCATGCCTGTGGTTGGGGGTTAGAGATACATGTGGGCAGGTCATGAGCCCTTCTCTTACCTGCGACATCTGATGTTTTTGTTTGTCATATGTCAGATATGTGAGGGGCGGATGTCTGGCTCAGCGGCACGGCTTTACTTAACACGCATGAGGCTCTGGGTTCCATTTCCAGAATGGAAAAATAATACGTGGTGAACACCTCTAATCTGTCATGGCCTGGGGACACAATGGTAACCAAGAGGGACAGGGTCCCGCTGTTGGGGAAGGAGATGCAAACAGATCTATAACTATGTTAGATGGTTGGGTATGGTAACTGTTTATCTGAAGTTTTTGTTCTGTGAAAAAAAAATCTCTGTCTCTCTGTCTCTGTCCTACCCACCCCTCTCTCTCTTTTTCTCCTCTCCCCTTTCTGTGTTGATCAGGACAATCCCCTTGGCTTAGTCAGCCCCAGGATTACAGTTGTGAGCCTCACGCCTGACAGCATGGGGCGCTTCCGCTACTCTCTTCCTGCCATTTTTTAAAGATTAGCTTGTACATTAGATCTTCTCCTTCTCCTTCTTCTTTTTGAGATTTATTTATTATGTACACAGTGCTATGTCTGCATGTATGCCTGCGGGCCAGAAGAGGGCGCCAGATCTCACTACAGATGGTGTGAGCCACCATGTGGTTGCTGGGAATTGAATTCAGGGCCTCTGGAAGAACAGCCAGTGCTCTTAACTCTGAGCCATCTCTCCAGCCTTAGATATTTTTTTTTTATCTTATTTCTCTCCCTTTAAAACACAGTGAGTATTTGTATTCCTAGCATAAACTCCTTCTTTTTTTAATGCTCACATTATCACAATATGACCAGTCGGTGTCCCTTTAAGACAGAAACTATATATTTTCTACTTTTTAGATTTATTTGTTTTATTTTTATGTATATTAGTATCTTGCTGCATGCAGGGAGCTGGACAGGATCGCCATTACAAGATGGCGCCAACATCCTGTCTTGTTGGAAATAAACAACTCCATATTTGGCTATGCCTTTGGGAGCTGCGTGTCCCTTGCTTCCCGCATGCACAGTGGTTTAGAGTCCTTGGGCCTATCCTGATGCAGTCTAGTGTCAGCTGATGGTGGCAGCCAATCACAGGGCGACCCGTGTGCCTACTCCCTATATAAGCCGCTTTAGTGCTCTAGGGGCCCCTCGCTTCCTGCTCTCCCTCAACCAAGGGCACTCCATTAAAGCGTGATCTGAGAAGAATCCTCGTGTGGTGGTTGTTCTTTCTCGCTGGTCGAGAAGTTCGCCGCAGCTGCATGTATGTCTGTGTATCACGTGTGTGTCTGGTGCCTTCAGAGGATGGAGACACTGAATCCCCTGAGACTGAAACCACAGGAGGCCATGAGCCACCATACGGGTACTGGAAGTCAAACCTGGGCCCCGTGCAAAAACAGCTAATGCTCTCAACTACAGAACGACCTCTCCAGCCCACAGCTAAGTTCTTTCACACGTGTGTTAGTCAGGTTTCCATTGTCGCAACAAACACCTCAGATAGTCACTTGTAAAATGAAATGCATTTGGCCTGCTGTCGGCAGGTTTGCCCACTGCCTGTTTGTAGTAACAAACACCTCAGATAGTCACTTGTAAAAGCCCCCATTACCTGCTTCTTTTTTTTTTTTAAATAAGAGTTGCCTTGGTCATAGTGTCTCCTCTCATCAATAGAATAGTAATTAAGACACATCAAAAATATTCCACGATCACCCAAGACTGCCAAGTTGGGAACTAGGCATTTCATACATGGGGGAATCTCCCCATCCTACACTCATCAGTCTTGGAGACCATTCCTGTCTACTAACTCAGGACATCTCAAGATCAATTTGCATATTCCATTGACCAGACCTGAAGTCAATCAAGGATGGTATGCATGAAGGAATTATGCATATGTATTTCAGTTATTTTATATTCTGGTTGGCCTAGAATTCACTAAACAGACCAGACAGCTTTGAATTTGCATTTTTCTCTGGCCTCTGCCTCTTGAGCACTGGAATTACAGCCATGAGTCTCCGTGCCTGGTTTGCGGATGGTGCTCGGAAGTAAAAGCTGAAAGCTGCTGCTTCCATTCAGAAACTAGAGAAGTCATGTCTGGGAACCATACGCTTCCTGGTAGCTCCAGTTCAAATCCACAATAGGGTTCTTCCAACACACACACACACACACACACACACACACACACGTGCACACACACACACGCATGCACATACACACGCATTGCCATGGATATAGAAATCTACAACAAGCTCATTATTTGCTTGTCTAAATTTCAGAATTGTTTCAACAACAGTATTAACGCTAATAATTAATTTGATGTTCAATGTTCGAGCAGACTAGATGTATTAGTTATTTTTCTTTGCTGTCATGAAACATCACGGTCAATGCAACTTCAAGGAGGAAGAGTTTATCTGGGGGCTCACAGCTTCAGAGGGGTAGAAGTCCATCACACTCCTGATGCAGAGCATAGCAGCTGGCAGGCAAGTGTGGTGCTGGAGCAGCGTTTGAGACCTCACATCCTGATCCACAAACTGAATCAAGCTGAATATTTTTTTTGGTTTGTTTTTTTCAAGACAGGGTTTCTCTGTGGTTTTGTAGCCTGTCCTGGAACTAGCTCTTGTAGACCAGGCTGGTCTTGAACTCACAGAGATCCGCCTGCCTCTGCCTCCCGAGTGCTGGGATTAAAGGCGTGCGCCACCACCGCCCGGCCTGAATATTTTTGAAATCTCAGAGCCTGGCCCCCAGTGACATACCCACTCCAACAAGGCCACGCCTCCTAATCCTTCTTAAATAGTTCCACCATCTAGGGACAAAGTATTCAAACATATGAACCTATGGCGGCCATTCTACCTCTACTACACCAGACAAAGTATATTTGTTGCTGTTGTTTTGGTTCATGACTTATAAATTACATACAACTAAACATAAAAATGTCCTTATGTGGGGCTGGAGAGGTGGTTCAGAAGTTAAGAGCACAGGCTGCTCTTCCATAGGTCCTGAGTTCAATTCCAAGTAACCACATGGAGGCTTCTATCTATAGCCATGAGATTTGGTGTCCTCTTCTGTCATTCAAACATATATGTAGGAAGAACACTATGTACATAATAAATTAATAAATCTTTCAAAAAAGTATATGTCCTTATGTAATGGAGCATCATGTGAAAAAAAATTTAAATGTTCATTTATTTTTCTAATACAGTGATTAGTTTAATATATTATTAGATTTTAAGGTTTTCTTTCTTTCATCCTTTTCATTTTTACTTTGGAATAAGAAGTCAAAGGTACTTAAAAGGTCATGTTCCCACTCTTCACCATATGGGCCAAGCAGAGGTATGAGTCTGTGTGTGCGTGTGCTCTATGCAGGTGCTCATGTATTTGTGTGTGCATGTTTGCAGATGCACATGGAAGCTGAGGCTGGCACGGGGTATCTTATTTTGTCATTCTCCATCCTGTGTTTGGAGACAGAGTCTCTCAAACATCGAACACACCAACTCAGCTAGGACTTCCAAGGGCTGATTTTTTTTTCTCCCTGAGACCAGGTGTCTCTGTGTAGCTCTGACTGTCCTGGAACTCACTCTGTAGACCAGGCTGGACACAGACTCACAGAGATCCGCCTGCCTCTGCCTCCCGAGCGCTGGGATTAAAGGTGTGTGGCATCTTTAATGGCCCAGTTCCAAGTACAGCCATTAAAGGAACGCACCACCATGCCTTATCCTGTTCTTAGTTGTTACTTGTTGGAATGGTTTTTGTTTGTTTATTTTGATGTATTTGGGCAGGGTAGCCCTGGTTGGCCTGGTACTCACTATGCAACCCAGTTTATCTTGAAATCATAGCGATTCTGCTCCAGCCTCTGAGTACTGGGATGACAGGCAAACATCCCAACACCTCGTTTGGGTTTTAAGGGTTTTAGATTTTATATTGATGTTGCAGGGCCCAACTTCATCAGCTGTGACCCCATATGGGGTAGGAAACTCAGCGTAGGATCCCCCAAATGACAACTGTAAAAGATTTCTGAATGAATGACCAAAAATTATTTCAAAATTAAGTAAATTCTAAATCCGAGGTATTCCTAGATCACTGGTGTTGCACACATGCAGCCCTGGTTCTGAACATGCGGCATGCGTGCTTTGTATTATGTGCATCAGCTTGCCATAAAGCACAGGTGAATGCTGCCAGAAACCCCTAGGCAGCCTACACTCTGGCTGTTGTGTGCTGCGAGTTGCCGTGTTTTACTATACGTGCTGTGTCTTCTGCTCTTATAGAAACATAATGCTTTTAAAGGTGTTTACTGTTTTTCTTCATCGGCATTCCTCAGTATATAGGAGCCAAGTTAGAGTGTATTATATAGTGTGAAAATGCTTGATTCTAAAAGTTATTGTTCCAATTGCTGACTTGAGTTTCAAAAAAAATTGTTAAATACATTTTGTCTTGTGATTATGAGAGAATTTTTAAAAATTTCTGAGAATTCCCTAGATATACTTTGACCATCTTATTCTACATATTTATGCAAATGTCTTTCTTAGTATTGATGATGATAAAGCCAAGGTGTCAATCAACTGAAAAATGCTGAAGATGTTCTCTCTCTAGAAACATAATTAATTATTAATTTGGAGTTTAGCTCATTATGCAAAAATAAACAAGCATATCCATGTCATTAATATGCAGGTTTGTTTTTTTATTTTTAATAAGTGGAAAACACAGGTGTGGTGACACATGCCTGTCATTCCAGCATGCTGGAGGTAGAGGCAGGGGGATCAGAAGCCATCTTTGTTGCATATCCAGTCTGATGTCAGCCTAAACTGTATGAGACTCTGTCTCAAAAGGTTAAAGAAAAAAAAAGGCAATTGAATGGATACTAAAAAATTGTTTTAAAATAAGTATCTTCAGTACTTACACCAGTAAATATTTTATTTATATACCCAGAGTCATACAAAAAAGTCTCACTCAAGAAAGGTGACCCCGTTCTTAAAGAATACTTTTAAGAAGCTTTAGTATAGTTCAACACAAATGAAAAAAAATCCAGGCCTGGTGGCATAGGCCTATTTTCCCACCTGAGGGAGACTGAGGCAAGGGGGTTACAAGCTCAAATCTCGCCTAGGTTACCTAAAATACACACATGCACACATACACACATGCACACATACACACACACACACATTGTCAATAGCAAAAGCTTTGTCTGTGTCTGTGGCTAGAAGCAGTTTTAAATTGATACATTTTAGTGACTCTTCAAACCATGGCTTGGTTTGTTTTTTATCCACAGCTTTGTTTTTTATTTTGCTTTTGTTGTTGTTGTTTATTGTTGTTGCTTTTTAGACAGGCTCTCATTGTGTGTCCCTGACTGTCCTGAACTTACTACAGAGACCAGATTAACCTAGAACTCAAAGCTCCGTCTACCTCCCCCTCCCAAGTGCAGGTATTTTTTTTTTTTTTTGAATTTTCGAGACAGGGTTTCTCCATAGGTTTTGGTTCCTGTCCTGGAACTAGCTCTTGTAGACCAGGCTGGCCTCAAACTCACAGAGATCCGCCTGCCTCTGCCTCCTGAGTGCTGGGATTAAAGGCGTGCGCCACTACCACCCGGCTCAAGTGCCAGTATTAAAGGTATGCACCACACACCACACTTGGCCTCAGTTCTGTCTCTGAAGTGTTAGTGCCTCTCTGTTCTCTCCTGTCATCGCAGAACTCCAGGGTCCCAGGATTTCTACCTTCCTTTATCTTTTATATCTCTTAATTTACTTCTTGCACGTTCTCTTTTTCTCTACCCTGTTTGGTGTGTGTGTGTGTGTGTGTGTGTGTGTGTGTGTGAATGTACATGTGTGTGATACGTGTGTGAAAGTATGTAGGTGTGTATGGGTGTGTCTGTTCTATTGCTGTGAAGAGACACCATGACCAAGGCAACTCTTACAAAAGAAAACATTTAATGGGGGGTTTGCTTACAGTTTCAGAGGGTTAGTCCATTATCATCATGGCAGGGAAAATGGAGGCAGGAGTGCTAGGCATAGACAGAGAGGAAGAGCCTGGACCTCAAAGCCTCCAACAAAGCCACATCTCCTAATACTTCTAATCCTTTCAGACAGTTCTACTTCCTGGTAACTAACTATTCAAACATATGAGCCTATGGGAGCCATTCTCGTTCAAACCACCACAGTAAATACGAATGTGTGTTTGTGTATGCTTGTGTGTGTGTGAGTGTATATGTGTGTATACATTCGTGTATGTGTGTGAGTGTATATGTGTGTATACATTCGTGTGTGTGTGAGTGTGTGTATACATTCATGTGTGTGTGTGAGTGTATATGTGTGTATACATTCATGTGTGTGTGTGTGAGTGTATATGTGTGTATACATTCGTGTGTGTGAGTGTATATGTGTGTGTGAGTGTATAAGTGTGTATACATTCGTGTGTGTGTGAGTGTATATGTGTGTATACATTCGTGTGTGTGTGTGAGTGTATATGTGTGTATACATTCGTGTGTGTGTGAGTGTATATATGTGTATACATTCGTGTGTGTGTGTGAGTGTGTGTATACATTCATGTGTGTGTGTGAGTGTATATGTGTGTATACATTCATGTGTGTGTATATGTGTGTGTGTGTATATGTGTGTGTGTGTGAGGGTGTATATGTGTGTATACATTCATGTGTGTGTGTGTTGGCACATGTACCATAGTGAACCTGTGGGGGTCAGAGATAGTTGGAATGCTCCAGGGGATGATGACAGCAGAATCATTTGAAAACAGAGAACAACCTTATATATGGTACAGGGAAGTGTAAATGCCTTCCTGCTTCGCAATCTATTGGGTATGAAGATGGACTAAGGAGTACCTGGATTTGAGGAGGCAGTGTGTTTTCTCATCTAACTTGGGGTTTGGGGCCAGAAGATACACCATCAACCTGTCACTGTTTCCGAGTAATCACCAGTCACATGAGCCAAGGAAGAGATGGGGTAGGAATGCCAGATTGCTGATTCTGTGTCTTGTCGCCTAGAGCCATCCTCCAGCAACAGGGCTCACCCACGGACGCCGCCATCGCTGCCTTGATCTGTACTGGTGTCGTTAACCCACAGAGCATGGGTCTGGGCGGAGGGGTCATCTTCACTATCTACAGTGCAACAACAGGTGGGCCCTGTGTGATTCCCCGTGGGGAGACAGACTTATCTTTAATCACGGGGCACTCATTTCTTGGGCTTTCTTGCATGCTTCTTCCTTGGTACTCCTGGTACTCTTTGCCCTGGCTTTGCCTCTGTTGTGTGGAGCCCTGGTGGTAGGTGGCATTTTAAGGGTTAACAGAGATGGAAACCAAGACCTAGAACAGGTTGGAGCCATCTCTCACCCGCCTCAACTCCAGGGAAGGTGGAAGTCATCAATGCTCGGGAGACAGTGCCAGCCAGCCATGTCCAGGGCCTGCTAGATCAGTGCACAAAGGCCCAGCCACTGGGCACAGGTAAGGCCTTTGGAAGGGTTCTTTAGACAACCTCACTGACACCAGTATGGGCCTGTCCAGAATACTCCCCTGCCAAGGGTCTGTATGACTCAGGCCGTGATACTCTGACATTGGGACATTGGGGATGGCCTCTGGACATGAGGGAACTGTGGACCCCCTGATCTCCTGTGGTGGGTTAGAGGTCTTCTTTTGGGGGAGACTCTGAAGAAAGGGGTATTCTGAGGGGAAGACCAATCTTGGGACGCTCAATGGGTCTGGGCTGGTGGGACAGGGATCCTGGGTCTAGTTTACTTGAAGGCAGAGTAAACTCCAGCAGGTAGCCTGGTGCCTTGGTGGTGGTATTCTTACGTGGACTTTATATGGAAGGCATTGGGGAGCCACAAGCAGTCTATGCCGAGAACGGTGTGGTCAGGCATGGGCTTCAGAAGCTGGGCGAGCAAGTTGGTGTGAAAGGGTTGTGCCAGGCTGAGGTTGGATGCGTATTGCGCAGGGGCCCAGTGGATTGGGGTTCCTGGGGAGCTCCGTGGCTATGCTGAGGCCCACCGCCGACACGGCCGCCTGCCTTGGGCTCAACTTTTCCAGCCCACCATCGCTCTGCTCCGAGAGGGTTTCCGTGTGCCCTCTGTCCTCAGCCAGTACCTCAGCCACAACTTCCTGCGGCCCTTCTTGTATTCGTCATCCCTGAGGTGAGTGGGCACTGTAACGCAGCTCTCAAATTCACATCCTGCCTGAGCACAGCCACCAGACAGCTGTGTCTCGTCATTCTTCAGCCAGAGGGTCGAACCTGAGGTGCCAAGGCCCTTATAGCCAGGGTAACCAACGCTTTCCTCAGGCTAAGCGCGGCTTATCCCTTCTGCTCTGCCTTCCTTCTGCTTCTCTTTGGGAGTGGCAGACAGTCCTCAGCTCACCCCTCTGCCACCTCAGTGATAGGTCTGCCCAGTAGGTGACAAAGTGACTCTGGGTGACACAGATAGACCAGAAAAGTTGCAGGGCCAGGAGTGAGGGTGGTGATCCAGCCCCAGCTGTTACCAGAGAACCAATCCCTAGTGGTTCTGTGCTGGGGCCGCCGCTGTTCCCCCAGAAGAATCCTGAAGATTTCTCTAGAGCCCAGAGGAATGTGAGTGTCCTCTGGGAGCTGGCGTCAGTCTGAGGTTGCCTCCTCCCCCTCCCTCCCCATCCCAGACAGCTCTTCTTCAATGGGACTGAAACCCTGAGATCTCAGGACCCATTTCCGTGGCCTGCCCTGGCCAACACCCTGGAGACAGTGGCCATGGAGGGTGCAGAGGCCTTATACACAGGGAGGCTGGGCCGCGTGCTGGTGGAGGACATTGCCAAGGAAGGTTAGCCACGCACCACGCTGACGCCGCATCACCCAGCCCAGCTAGGGAAAGAACCACGTTCTGGGCATTGGGGTGGAAGTCCCACCTTTCCCCAGGCTCCTCAGGACGACTGGGTGCTCTGGGATTCAGGAGGGTGCTGCTGGGGTTCGGGAGAGGCCAGGTGCCCATCTAGTCCAGCCTAACCATGGCTAGCCTTTGGGGTCTCTGCAGTCAAGAACCTCAAGCGGCAGGGCTTTCGGCATGTCTGCCTGTAGAGGAGCAGTAGCAGGCTTGGGTGGCAGAGTTGGCCATCTTTCTCTTCCTATTTCCCACTTGCCTTCCTCTGGTCTCTACCCTTCTGCCCTATACCACTGGGTGCACTGGTCCCCTTTGGGACTGCACCATTTGCTGGCGAGAGGAATTCTTTTGGGTGTCCCTGAGACACACTGCAGGCAAGAGCAATTCCTTTGGGTGTCCCCCAGAAGCATCGCAACTTTCTTGCCCTTTGGCAATCTCCATTTGCACCTGGAGCTCACCGTCTCTCTCCAGGAAGCCTGCTGACAGTTCAGGATTTGGCTGCCTTCCAGCCTGAAGTGGTGGCCCCCCTGGAGATGGCCCTGGGAAACTACACCCTGTACTCACCACCACCGCCTGCAGGGGGTGCTATTCTTAACTTCATTCTCAATGTGCTGCAAGGTAAGCCCTTCCTCAGGTCTCCTCTCTGTCCTTGGGCTCTGCCCTGCAGGGAGCCTGACCTCCTGGTTCACCCCTGACTTTGGTGAACACATTAGCTTTCTGTCATTGTAACACCAGGCTGGATGCGGCTACTTATTAAGAAAAGTTTATCGCTGGGAGTTGAGCTCAATAGGAGAGTGCTTGCCAAGCTTGGCCCCCATCAGATGAGCCCTCTTATAAGAACTACCAGAGTCACATGTGGGACACTTCCCAACAGCAAACTCCCTGTGACCTAAAGTCTTATCAGGTCTTCCTTCTTAATGGTTCAGCCACCTCCCAATGCGGACACTATGGGGATCAAAGCTCCAATCCCAGTGGACCCTCAGGGACACCCATGACATAATCCCATCATAGCGTATGGCCCTTGACTTTTTCAACGTACACTACATTCACAGAAGCATGCTATCCACGTCAGGACAGTGAGTTTTACAGTTGGTCTCTGTCTCAGGAACTGGCCCAGATTGCAAGGAAGGAAATAGCATCCTTTCCCTTAGTGCGTGTGTGACTCAGTCTCAGGGCATGGGAGCAGAAGGCCCTGCGGGTAGCGAGCTGCATGTCAGGTGTGTATGCTCCGGGTTGACACGCAGCGCAGGGAACCACAGCCTGCAGGGCCTGCCTGAGGTCTCACAGTTCCAGAAGCCAGAAATCACACAGCAGGTTATACACAGGCCAGGCTCAGTCTGGAGTCTCTGGGGAGAATCTGTTGGCTCTCCTCACCTTTACTGCATCACCCTAGGCTCTGCGCCCAACAGTTCAGACAGGTACAAAGCCTTCGACATGCCCCATGTTTCCCTATGGCTACACTTGTGATTAAAAGTTTAATTATAAATTAGGGACAGTAAGACACATCCTTTCACCTACAGGAAGCCCTAAGTGATTTCTCTTTGGTCTATACAAATCATCATCATTGCCATCACTGGTTAGCTTTCTGTTACTATGCCAAATATCTGGGATTAAAACCCACTTATAAAGAGAAATGGTTTCTTTTGTCTCATGGGTTTGTAATTTCTGCCTGTGTTTGGTTGGCCCCACCGCTTCTGGGCCTGCAGTGGGGCAGCATGCTATGGCAGGGATGGGTGATAGCGCAAAAACTCCCTCTCAAGGCTGCTGGGAAATGAAAGACAGGGAAGGAGAACACAGCCCCATCTGAGCACATGACCTAACTCACCATCCTCCCAGGCCCCGCCTTTTAAAGTGTTCACCATTCCCCAACAGTGTCAAGCTCAGAACCAAGCCTAGATGTTGTGCACCAGGGCCATTCATTGTTCAGTAACAGAGGTCACCTTGGCATAAGTCCTTCAATATGGTGACAATTGGTTTCAGCGTAGAGAGGGTTACTAAGGTCTGCTCAGAAGTAGAGCTCATGTCTAGCATGTCCTATCTCAGTACTGGGGCAGGTATTAATAAGGGATTAATAGCCAGGCAGCAAATACAGTGTGGCTACATTAGACAATAGAATGAGTCACGTCCTTGGTGTGATGGAGCAGGATGGCTCAAGATTTAATCATGCTACACAGAATGGCACTTAAAATGGACGAATTGTTTATTCTGGAACTTTCCATGTAATATTTGCAAGCTATGATTGACTGCAGGTAGCTGAGATTGTGGAAAGTCAGATCACACACAAGAGGGGGACATCTCTTCTCTTCTGTGTCTGACTTATAAAGTGTGGGGGCTGGAGAGATGGCTCAGAGGTTAAGAGCACTGCCTGCTCTTCCAGAGGTCCTGAGTACAATTCCCAGCAACCACATGGTGGCTCACAACCACCTAAAATGGGATCTGATGTCCTCTTCTGGCCTGCAGGTATATATGCAGACAGAGTACTCATACCTAAAAAGTACATTTAAAAATGTGTGCTGGGCAGTGGTGGTTCACTCCTTTAATCCCAGCACTTGGAAGGCAGAGGCAGGCAGATCTCTGTGAGTTCAAGGCCAGCTTGGTCTACAGAGTGAGTTCCAGAACAGGTTCCAAAGCTACACAGAGAAACCCTGTCTCGAAAAACAAAAACAAAAAAAGATGTGCGTGGCTTGGTGCAGTGGCCCACACCTTTAGTTCATGTACTCAGGAGGCAGAGGTAGTTAGAACCCTGAATTTAAGGCTAGCCTGGTCAACAAAGAGTTTTAGGACAGCCAGGGCTACATAGAAAAACCCTATCTCAGTGGGGGGGAGAGACACACTTGATCCTCAGATTTAGGGCTAACCTACTAATCTATACAATTCAGGGTAAATATTGCCTCTCAAAATCCTTAACATATTTTGCCATACACTGTGATAGTAATTCTTGTGCTATATAAATCAATATTCATGGATCCTGAGAGGTAAAGAAATGAGTATATATTTTGGGGGGCCAACATTCACCTCACTACACAAGGTAACCCCCTTGGACCCCCACTACCTCCCAAGGGTTCAACTTCTCGGCAGAGACGGTGGCCCAGCCTGAAGAAAAAGCGAACATGTACCATCACCTTGTAGAGACACTCAAGTTCGCAATAGGGCAGAGGTGGCGGCTCTGGGACTCTTATAGTCGCCCGGGGATACAGGTAAGGCTCCCTGGGACCGATGGTGTCCTCTTCCAACCCTTTCCTAGAATACAGCATGGAGGGAGGGGCAGCATTGGCATGGGGAAGGTGGAGGAATTTCTTTGTAGTTCTGGGCAGGGATATCCTGGCAGCAGTCCCCAGGGCTGCAAGGGACTCTGAGGTGGTAGCTATAGTGGGTAGGATCTGGCCTTAGCATGGGCTCAATTACCTTCTACAACAGACTGGAGAAAGGGTCCTCCCAGGGGGAACGAGTTCACCCTACGCTCTGCTTTGAGGACCCTGCCTGGCTCCTCATTAATTTGCTATCTGACTGCTCACTCCAGAACACCTCCCAGAACCTTCTTGGGGAAGCTCTAGCCCAGCACATTCGCCAGAAGATCGACGGCCGCGGTGACCACCAGCTCAGCCACTACAACCTGATCGGGGTCAGGGGCAACAGGATGGGCACTTCTCATGTGTCGGTGTTGGGAGAGGACGGCAGTGCTGTGGCAGCTACCAGTACCATCAACACACCGTGTGTGGGACCTGGGGAGGGGCAGGGGCAGACAGGGCTCAGGGGCAGGTGGGTAGATTCCTCCTCCTTTGCTCTTGACTCCAAAGTCTCCTTTGACCCAGTTTGGTCTACACCCTCCGACCTCTCCTTGTTAGTCCCTAAGCAGGCAACACCTCCCTTTTGTTTTTCCCACTGTCAAAAAAGATCTGGCACAGGGACGTCCTTGCTGACAAAAGCTATTATTTGGTGGCCCTGAGCCCGGTCCTGTCTGGGTTGGGCCTTACACAAAAAGGAGTCCTGATGGGAGCCAAAGGGGATCTTTGAGGTCCCTGAGTGGTTCTGGGCTCCGGTGTGCTGGAAGCACTTTTGTAAGGGATCCTCAGAGGTTGCAGCCCTGTGTTGCTGGGAGCCAAGGCCCCAAGTTCAGACCCCACCTTACCCATCTGCAGCTTCGGAGCCATGGTGTACTCACCCCGGACAGGCATCCTCCTTAACAACGAGCTCCTGGATTTATGCTGGAGGCACGGGCCAGGTTCCACTGCCACTCCTCCACCTGGTAAGAGAGAAAGAAGGGTAGGTGGGCCACTAACCCCTGGGCAAGTTACCCCCATCACTGAGTACTGTTAACTTAGCAATGTATGAAGGTGGGGTAGGTGGTACCCCTAGAGGGTGTGGGTGATGCTTGTTGGCCCCAGTTCCAGGTGAGCGCCCACCGTCTTACATGGTACCCTCCATCTTGGTCAACAAGGCACAGGGATCCAAGCTGGTGATTGGTGGGGCTGGTGGGGAACTCATCGTGTCTGCTGTGGTCCAGGTAAGTCTGAGAATTCCTGGCTAGAATGTTGCCTCTCTGGTGAACTCCCTGGGGTGGGGATGGGAGTGTGGCAGTGGGATATCCTGTGTCCCTTCTCTGTGTCCTCTTATTTCTTTCAGACCATCACGAATATCTTATTTCTTTCAGACCATCATGAATAAGCTGTGGCTTGGCTTTGACCTGACAGAAGCCATTGCAGCCCCCATCCTACACGTCAATAGCAAGGGCTATGTGGAGTATGAACCCAAGTTCAATGAGGTGAGGCTGAGGTCCCACCGGCCTCCTGAAACCCATGTTGTTCTCCCCTGTAAAGAATTCGGTAACTTCCTGTGCCAGAGAGACACACTCCACCTCCAGGGCCATGAAGACTTGAGAAGTTTAACGGGAAGACAATAGGTCTGTCCCATGGCATCCAAGTCAGAGAGTAGGCTGTTGCCTGAGCATCTCCTGGGCTGAGGACTTCAAAATCTTGTTCTGTGTACGCCGTTTCCAGGAAACTAGCTTTTCTGACTGTGGTCAGTTAGCCGCTCCTTCCTGGCGCCTTCTTCCCTCATGTGGTGAAACTCAGAGTCAAGAGTTTATTCACAAAAGAGCTCAGTTTTCCCGTGGGATTTTGTTCTGGGTCATGGGAGGTCTTTCTGCCCTTATGTCCAAACATCTGATTTCCCCACTAAGACCCTGGAGCATGACCAGTGGCTGAAATCTCTTTACTCTCTGGTTACCACCTTCCTACCCAGAAAATTAGCTTTCTGGGAGTTTTCTGAAGCTCAGTGGATGCACTGTGTGGAGCACATATAAAGATTAGCAGCTTTGGGGCTGGAGAGCGGGCTCAGTGGTTAGGAGCACTTGCTTGGTGGTTCTCAGCACCCATACGGCAGCTCACGACCACTCTGTGAACGCTGTAAGAGATCCAACACCCTCTTCTGACCTCCACAGGCTCCTGCGTGTGTGTGTGTGTGTGTGTGTGTGCGCGCGCGCGCGCGCGCGCACGCACGGAGGGGGAGAGTAGATAAATGTTTTAAAACAGGGGCTGAGAACCAAACCTGGGTCCTCTGCAAAAGCAACAAGTGCTCCTTAAGTGCTGAGTCATCTGTCTGGTCAGGTTAGATATGTTAAATATATACATGCATTTTTGACTTGTAATATTTTCAAATTATGGTGGATTTATTGGGGCACATCACCCCATTATAAGTTGAGCAATCTCTGTAGTGTTGAGAACTTGTTCAGATTCTGAGGTTCAAGGCATAACCCCTTGGACTCAGATTCTTGGCATTTTAGCATCTGCGCAGGGTTCTCCCAGGGACCTGAGACGTTCTCTCAGAGCACCGGGTCCAAGGAACTAATGTCTAGAGGATGTAAGAGCCAAGACATGTTCTTTTAAGCTCGTACTGCTTGAGCCTTGGCCGTTGACTCTTAACTGAAGATCCATTGTCAGTGAGTATCAATTCTCAAGACTTGGCACTCTGAGATTCTTGGAGCATTCGGAAGATGACACAAGGTCTGGGAGCTGGGACAATGAAATCCAGAGCCTTGTGAAGCCAAGCTTGTCAGCACCCTGAGTGTTCAAATGTCAGTTATGCAGATGCAGGCTTTCGCTGGTGAACCCCATCAATCCTGGCTTAGAGACCTCAAGTCTCCAAGGACCCTCATAAGCAAAAGCCACCACCAAGGCGAGGAAGGGCTTGGAGTTTGGCCACTAAATTCTGAGAAACGGAGCCTCCAAGGACTGAAAGTGTAACTCTGGCTTTAGTACTGAGGTCCTCAGCCTCTAATGTCAAGGTCACTGGGCAATTCATAGAGGAAACACGGAAAAATTAAGAGCCCTCAAGGCGTGGCTACAGATCTCACCTTGCCAGTGGCTCAAGTCACATAATGTCACCTGGGCAGCAAACGATTATAAGGACTTCAGAGATGCTGTTACACCTGGACATCTGTAGAGTATCGGGTCACCGTGAACAAAATTCTTGGCCCATTAATCCGGAACAGCATATGGAGACGTGGGGCTGAAGAAATATAGTTTTTAGGATTTTTGCTCCCTTGTAACATGATAAATGGCAGTAGTGGGGGTTCATACCCCAAGAATATAAAGTCCTTAACATCTTAGAAATCAGAACTGCCGGGCAAGGCCCTTCTTTAGTTTCTACCTCCAAGTTCACAGATTTAGTATCTTACACCTGAGAATTAGGGCCCCATGTTCTGAGTGTCCCCCACTACTTCCTCCAGGGTTTAGTTTTCTTGGATACAAACAAATTTGTTTGCTTTAAAGACAGAATTTGGCTCAGGCCAGCCTCAGACTTGCTATGTAGCCGAGGCTGATCTCAAATTGACAATCCCCTGCCCCTGCACCCCTACCTGGCTTGATATAGGAGTGAGTGTGCCTTTATGTTTATCTATGCATTCACACACACACACACACACACACACACACACACGAAATGCTTCATGAATTTACAAGTCATCCTGAGTGAGGGCCATGTTAATCTTTCTGTATTGTTCCAGATTTAGTGTCTATCTGCCGAAGCCAGCACAGTGCAGTGCACGCATACCCTGGACAAATGGGATCAGCAGCCTTGGGTCCTCCTAGACACCCCTTATTAGCCATAAAGTTATAGGCACCCCCAGGTTCTATATGGTTTGGTACTACTCAGGTTGGTGGGCCTGGGTACCTAGTATCTAGTGCTTTGTCCTCCTCAAGGTCCCAGGGTATCTATGGACTCCAAAATTGTGGCCCTTTAACCCAAGTCGTCTTCTTTTTTTTTTTTTATTTGTTCATTATGTATACAGAATTCTGTCTGCATGTATGCCTGCAGGCCAGAAGAGGGCACCAGATCTTGTTACAGATGGTTGTGAGCTACCATGTGGTTGCTGGGAATTGAACTCAGGACCTCTGGAACAGCAGGCAGTGCTCTTAACCTCTGAGCCATCTCTCCAGCTCCCTAACCCAAATCTTCTAAAACGACCTTCTCCACAGAAGCCCTGAGATCACCTCAGATTTGTCCTCTGGGTCCACAGTGAATTAGACCCATGAACAGAATGAACTTTGTTCTTGATGGGTTGTTGCTTTGAGCTGCCCCGTCCTTGCCTGGTCCCTGCAGCCTCTCACATCCCTCTGGGATCTCCAAGCTGTAAACTCGATGCTCTAGGACCAGTTCCTGCCCACAGTCTTTCCCTAGCCAGGATCCTGGGGCTCCCTTCCCCCAAGCCCCTCCTTTTCAGGTCTGTTTTTCTATTTTTTTGTCTGGCCACTCCCTTGCATAATGGGGGGACTTGAGCTGCCCTCTCCCTCTCCATGAACGCTTCTCTCTCTTTTTCAGGAGGTGAAGAAGGGACTGCAAGACCGGGGCCAGAGCCAGAGCCCGCGGCTCTTTTTCCTGAACTCTGTCCAGGCTGTGTCCCAGGAAGGACCCTGTGTCTATGCGGCATCTGACCAGAGGAAGGCTGGAAAGGCTTCAGGATACTAAGAGAGCTTTGCCCAGAGGTGGGATCTGACCCTAGATGAGTCCTGGGCTTCAGATGGATGAGGCTGTAGATCTAAGTGCTCCAGGACCTGGAACCTTTGCTACGAGATCAACCTGGGCCTGCAGAGGACAGGGACCAGCTCGACAGATGAATGACTGAGAGGGAAGGACTGACTTGTCCATAGTCCCTTCCCAACACCTCTGGTGACCCTGCTCTGCCTCTTCTAGCCTCCCTCGGCATCATGCCCATATTCCAACTGGTGTGCCTACCAGTCCAGGATTAAAGAGGAGCCATACTGTGGGCTGATTTGGTGGTTCTCAGCAGTTAGGGGACCCCCAGACAGTGCCCAGTGATATACAATACACCTCACACTCCTGTGGTCCTTCATGGCTCCATTCACCATCAAAACTGGGGAACTGGGCAGTGAACGGAGGGCGTCCACCTCTACCCCGCTCAAGCTACAGTGTGTCTGGGGGCTTCACAGTGTGGCTGCCTCCCATTTTGCCTGCCAGTGAGAAGGCAGGAGTGTGGCTTATAGTACTTTCCCTCAACTCTCGTGAGACCCTAATCCCCTCCAGGAAAATGTCGATTGAAGCAATTTTTTTTTTTTTTGATTTTTTGAGACAGGGTTTCTCCATAGCTTTTTGGTTCCTGTCCTGGAACTAGCTCTTGTAGACCAGGCTGGCCTCGAACTCACAGAGATCCGCCTGCCTCTGCCTCCCAAGTGCTGGGATTAAAGGCGTGCGCCACCACCGCCCAGCTCCTGGCTCAGGTCTTAATATTGCATGTTCCCGAGACTAGGGCTCATTCTTGGTAGTACTGACATGTGAGATGAGGTGACTTTTTGTTGCTTAGAGCTGTCCCTACATGGCACACCCGTGGCACAATAGCATCCCTCATATTCCCGCAGACACAGCAGCACAACTCTCTGGACAGGGTTATACATCCCTGGTTGAGCAGTACTGCTTTGGATGAGTGGGAAACTCTGCAGACTATCCAGTAGGGTGCCTGTTATGAAGGACTTCCTAGAGGAACCTAAGCATCTTGTATCACACTCCTGGGAGCATCAGGCATTTCTGGGTCACCCCAAGTATCTGCAGGAGTTGCTTTAGTAAATCCAGGGTGCCACAACAACCTGCATGACTTACACATGCATCTTAAAGAAATCCATCACTCTGCTTCAACGGTTAAAAAGCTCTTTTTGAAAAAACAAAACTCTTTTTGCTAGGACCTAGGTTTTAACTCCCAGCACCCACATGATGGTTCATCACCATCTGTAACTCCAGTTTCTAGGGATCTGATGATCATTTCTGATCTCTATAAGCACCAAGAATACATGCAGGCAGAACACTCACACATAAAATTAAGTGAATAAATCTAAGTTTAAAAATTAAAAGCAAAATTGATGACTCATAACTCTGAAAACCAGGCAGTCTGAGATAAAGGTGGCGGCAGGTTCGGTGTTTGGAGAGGGCTCATTTCCTCTCAGATGGTCTGTCATATGGTGGAAGGAGTTAGGTGACTTGCTCGGGTTTCTTCAAAGACGATAGGGTCACTCCTCACGATGGGTAGAAGATTGGTTCCAGGACCTCCCGAAAGAAGACTCAAGTCTGTGGATGCTCACATCCTTTATATAAAACGAAGCCGTGTTTGCATCAGCTGCTTGTAGAGTCAAGAGCTGGAAGCTCATGGAAGGTTCAGTGAGATACGGTTGGGATCTTTTGGTGTTCCTGATTACAATCAGATTTTCTTCATCTTCACCGTGGCATTGTGGTAAGGTATGGACTCCCGTCCCTTGAGTTGAGACCATAAAATTCTCTACTCCCTCCTGACCACAGCTTCTCTCTGGGCATGCACTTCTGTGCCTAGCTACAGGATCATTCCTGATTTTATGACGGCATGCTTCAAGCTTCTTCATCTTGCCCCTCCATGTGCATGTCTATCTCCTGCTACATCTGTGATGATGGAAGTTACAAAATAATCCAACACTAGCTCAGAATTAAGTATAATAAAGGGTTATTTATTTAGGGGTAGACTCACAGATCACAGTCCTCTGGACAAACAGGGAAGAGGAACCGAATCCAGCAGCTGGAAGAGAGAGCAAGCACACTATTTACGTCAGCATTTATAGTATAAGAGGCCAAGCCTAAGTCGGCTGGTATCTTGAAGGCTACTGGCTGAAGGAGTTCCTACAGCACCTCCCCCTTTTGTTTGCACAAGAGAGTTCTAAGCCTAATACAAAACTATATACAATAAGAACAAATATCAAGTATAAAAATTAGAATTACAACCAGCATAAACAATGGTGCGTGTAAGTCCAAGATACCACTGCTTGCTTAATTTCCTTTAGATCATTCATACCTATAGGTATCCACCTACATTCTTTGGCTCCTTTGGGGCATTTAGAACTTGATGGTTTCTCAGAGGTGTTTACAGGGTAGGAAGCTAAAACCCTGGGTAAGCCATCTCTGACTCTGACACATACTGGTGATGTTAAACCCTGTCCTTTTACCTTCCCTCCTGCCCATCAGCTCAAATATTTTCCTCAGTTGTTTCAAATCTCTTTACCACTGTCTTTTGTAAAGCCTGAATCTACTGGCTTGTATATATTTTTAGTGATTTCACTGAGGCACCTAGCCTCTGCTCCTTATTCTGCACATGTGATTCCAAGGTCTAAAGTTTTTTCCTTTTAAGATAACACCTCACCCTTGGACATTATTTGGATAGCGTGCAGATTGCCTTCCTGGAGAGATACTCTGTCTGCTAACCTATCATAAGATTTTTAACAGATTTTGATTGTCAAATTCAACAGTATGAATTTGTTCAGATAATTTCTCAGTACCCTTTGACATGGATTGAATTTTGTCCGTCAAATTAATGTTATCCTTTTCAATGGTATTAATTTTTTTCAGCTAACTTTTGTTTTTATGATGGTATTAATCCTGTCAGCTAGCTGTTCATTGTTAGTCTGTAAAGACTGTGTCATTTCTAAAAGTGCCTGATTCTTGGCTCTGTTATCAAACCATTTTCTTAGGGATATAATATGAAAAAGAAAACTAAGTCTCAATATCCGATAAATGGGTGTATCAGGAAAACCATATAAGCCTTACAGAATACCATTCATAGTATAAGCAAAAAGGTTATCAAAATCCTGGATGGATGGATATATATATATATATATCTCCAAGTTTACTGATTTATTTATTAATCAAATAATTACCTTTGTTATGAGATTTCAGTATATTGCTGTAGATATAATAATCTTCATTGGCCACTGGGTGTCAATGTTGCAGTCGCATGGCAGTGAGGTGCATTGGTGGTAGCAAAAACAGTCCAGCGCCACTTTGATTACACACACTGGTGCCTGGTTAAATACTAACAAATATGCTTTGCTCTTTGCTTCAGAGCAATTAAACCAATTCTATACATGGAGAGAGGGTTTCTCTGTATAACAGCCCTAGCTGTCCTGGAACTAACTCTTGTAGACCAGGCTGGCCTCGAACTCACAGAGATCCGCCTGCCTCTGCCTCTCGAGTGCTGGGATTAAAGGCGTGCGCCACCACTGCCCCGCTAGAGTGACAAAATCTTTACAAGAGAATTTTTCCACAGCAGTGTGAGCTATAAGCGCATGGCCAGAGTGGTACTGGATGAGCAGAAGGAGTGAGAGGGAGCCTGAGACTGGAGAGCTAGAAGGTCCGTGGGACCCGCATGCTGTGAGCTTTGTCTGATCCTTCCATGCTTATCACAGTGAAAGGAAAGGCACAAGATACTCAGGCACGCAGAGGGGATGGTGTAAAACGACGGTGCTGTGGAATTGAATTCAGAAAAACTTTTTTTTTTTTTTTTTTTTTTTTTTTTTTTAAATATTTATTTATTATGTACACAGTGTTCAGCCTCCATGCCTGCAGGCCAGAAGAGGGCACCAGATCTCATTACAGATGGTTATGAGCCACCATGTGGTTGCTGGGAATTGAACTCAGGACCTCCGGTAGAGCAGTCAGTGCTCTTAACCTCTGAGCCATCTCTCCAGCCCTCAGAAAAACTTTGAAACTGTTTCTCTGTGAGCACTAGGCTGCCGGATAAGTAGAGCATGGGATGGAGGGGGGCGTTTCTACGGTGGGAAATGATGTTGATAATGTGAATGGCAGCATCATTCATCGGGCCGTAAAGCCGCTCATTGCCTGTGCAATGCCTGTTGGATCCAGGGAAATCATCCCTTTATGGACGGGTCATCTTGGCACAGGAGAGGCATGCCAAAGGTGGTAAGCAGTGGGCAGATCAAGCTGCCTCGTGGGCATGCTGAGTTTCTAAGTCTGTTTCTGACTTAGAAAAGGTGGTGGTTTTGCAGCCCTGCTCACGGAAATTTCTATAGCTCTACTTGGTCAATAAGAAAAAGTCAAACGGAAAGAACTTGGAAAATGAACTAAGTTATAGGGAGTCAAACAAGGTGATGTTTATCTGGAACATGGTGCCTAGTAGTACCTACTCCTAGGGCGGTGGAGGGAGCAGGGCGCGGAGGAGGGCTGGCGGGCTTGCGTCATGCCCCTCAGCTCCACAAATGCTGTTCCATACGAATGCTGGTTCAGCATTCCTTTGAAACTGGGCCCGCCAGACCAGTTCACCCCGACTTGGGAAGAAGGCCAGTAGACATCCCCTGCTGCTGATAGTTCTTGGTTCCACTGTAGCCACAACAGTGTGCCCGCTGGTACAGGACACCAGAGGATGGTTGCAAGCCTTCACACAAGGGATGTGTAGGAAGCACTGTACTACCCACCCAGTCCCAGGTATGTTCCAGGCAATGAAACCTGCTCAAACACAGACGTGCTATGAGATAATAGCAAATCTTCTCTACAAAGAAGGGCATTCGGGCTTCATTCTTCACCTAGCTCAATGCGTATGCTGACTGCGTCTTCTCATTGGGAGAGAGGGAAGGAGTCATGGATTTGGGGCTGTGGCTCAGCGGTAGTGTTCACCTGCCAAGTTTGAGGCCTTGAATTTTCTAGAACCACAATAAACAAACACTTAAAAATGGAAGGGGAACATGGGACTGGGAGACTCTAACTGAAAGCCTCTGCAAAAGCACTTAGCAGCCCGTCTCAGACCGCGGGCACCTGTTACCATTTCATTCCCACAACAAACGGCATGAGCTGGGCCTTCCGGCAAGAACCAATACAAAGGCAGCTCTGATGGAGCTGACCTAGGCTTCCTCCTCAGAAGAGCAATCTTGAGCAGTGATTCCTGCCTTAGAAGAGGTGGAGCCACTGCCTGGGAACTACCAATCACAACATGAAGTAGCCTGTCTCGGTCCACTGTAGTGGAAACCCTGCTCTACACAGTGGAACATGTATCACAAGTCAGTCTTCTCAAGAGCTTCCTGACTCCTGGGCCACAGGCAGTGTTAGGCCTGGCTACCTCTAAAACAGCTTCCACCAAGATGGCTTACATACACATAAATAAAATAAAAAATAATAAGGATGAACATCAAACCTCCAGGGCTTTGGAAAATGTGAACATACATAATATAGAATATAACATAATATATTTATTTGTAATAGATCAACAAGCTACTGAATAAACTGAAGGAAGTGTAAATGCATAAAATAATACATTAGAATGGAGAACTAACTATAAATATAGATATAGAAGACGTTACAATATTATATTAAAAAGGCAAAAAATTTGACAAAATACTTTCTAGGACAATATAATTAAGGTTTTAATATTTGGGACATATTTAAACTAAATACCATTTATCTAAAATGTAGGTTTATTTGGCATCTTATATTCTTATTTGCTGCTATGTCAAATATGAATAACTAATGAATATGGCATTAAGGTCAAAGATCTAAACACTGCTGACTGTGCTGGCTAGTTTTACGTCACCTTGACACAAGCTGGATTATCTGAAAGGAGGGAACCTTAACTGAGAAAACGCCTCCTTAAGATCCATCTGTAAGGCATTTTCTTAATTAGTGATTGATGAGGGAGGGGCCAACTCATTGTGGGTGGAGCTATCCCTGGGCTGGTGGTTCTGGGTTCTAAGAAGAAAGCAGGCTGAGCAAGACAGGAAGAAGCATCTCCTTATAGCCTCTGCGCCAGCTCCGGCTTCCAGATTCCGGCCCTGCTTGAGTTCCTGTCTTGGCTTCCTTCAGTGATGGAGCACAAGCTGGGAGTGAAAATAAACCCTTTCATGGTGTCTCATCACAGAATAGCCACCCTAACTAAGACAAATTGAGACCAGGATAGTGGGGTATTGCTGTGACAGGCTTGTCTAGGTTGTTTATGGGCCGACTGTGGAAGGACTTTGGAATCTTGGGCTAAAAGTCACCGAATGTTGAGAGCTCAGTGGGCTGCTGTGTAG